AAGACAAGTCATTAAAGCACCGTTTATTTTCACAAGAGACTAGAAATAGGTATGTGTTGGATTTTTTTTTTGCGGGGGGGAGGCCCTCAGGATGCCTTCAGGGCTGGTCTGGTTTGGCTTGAGGATGAGGGGATCGAACCACAGCATCTTGAGCCTGACTGCTCTGTTTCAGCAGGCACTTAAACACCTGAGCTAATGGGCAGGCCCTGTGGTATGTGTCGATAGGGAACTAGTTCAATGGCTTGTGGTATATTCTTGCTGTGGAGTACTGTGCAGTTGTAAAGAAGGATGAGAAACTAGACCTTGCAGAGGGATCTTCAGGTAATGCTGTTAAGATAAATAGAACAGGAGGTACGTATCAACTCAAAAGGAAGGAAAGACCCAGCATACATGTACTAGTTTATATGCTGGAAAAGAGAAGAAATGAGTAAACTAAAAATGGTTACCTACAGAGAGAGTGGAAATGAACAAAAGAGACGTGAACAGTAGAGACGTGAGCCTTGTTCCCTAACGTGGTTGCACACCAGAACAAAGTCATCTTGCACAACCTGAAGCTCAGAGTTTCTGGGCCTACAGAGGAGCTTAAATGCAAAAGAACTGTGAGGACATTTAATTGCATCTGGTAACCTTCTTGTCAGCAAGGCTTGCTTCTTTGGGTGCATTGGGAATCCAACTCAGGACCTCACGCTTGCCAGGCAGGCAGGCACTGTGCCACTGAGCTGTATCTCCAGCCCAGGTAGCAATAAGACTTAATGTGTAGTTTGAAATTTTATTCGTAAGTTTTACTGATTACTTGTTTTTTTTTTTTTTTTTTTTTTTTTTTGTATTTAGTGTAGGGACTACAGAGTGTGCAGGGTCTCACTATACAGATTGGACTTGTAGTGATTCTCCTGTTTTCAGCTTCCCAAGCTCTGGGATTACAGGCACGCGCCACCACGCCCAGTCTCAGTGCGCCCCGGGGGCAGGGCCAGCGCTGCAGGTCAGGGATTGATACTGATTACCTTTTAATACTACTAATAATCATTTTTTTATTGGTTCTTCAGCCTTCTAACAAAAATTAAAAACAATGAGATGTTTTATACTGTTCCTACCCAGTAAAATGTTTACTTTATAAAATTTGCGCTTAACAGACAAAAAATGTGGTTTGTATGTTGCAGTGCTTTTTAAAATGCAAATACGGACTTCAAATGGTTGATTTTGAATCTGCTTTTTTTCTTATTTTATGAAAAAGTAAAACAAAATTTCATGACCAGATATTAAGAGAATAACAATAATTATTACACTGTGGATTGTTATCTTCAAACAATTTTTTGTTTGACAAAAATCCAAAAGATTTTTAAAAAACAAAAACACCATTTTTAAGTAAACATTGAATGGTAAAGAATGTAAGAAATCATATTTATTTAAAGAAAACCCTACTTTTAGACGTTGATTTTTAAAAAAACATTTTAATTGACACATAATAACTGTGTATGGTTGCAAAGTACAGTTTGATTTTTCACACTATACAGTGTGAAAAGATTAAACCACTCTTAATTTTGTTAACACCTTTGGTCACCATTATCTTGTCAAGGAGAAAATGGATACAAATATAAAATCAAAGAAATTACATAGAACTTTGTAATCTTTAAAATTAGAAACAGTACTCTGAAATCCAGATTTATTTATTTTTCTACAAATGTGTTTTTTAGCTGTCTGTTGAAAACTAGAAGCAATAATAATCCTGTAAGAATGGACAGGCCTAGAGCCCAGGATATGGTCACTAAATGCCACGTCCTTTTACTGCAAGCTAGGTCTTTGGAAAAATGGTTTTCAGATCTGTGCCAGAAAACATACAAGAGAAATATGTAAGTAAAAACATTTCTAAAGAATACTAGGGAATGTTGAAAAGATAAGGAGTCAACTTTCAGGGGCTGGCAATGTAGTGGGTCGGCGGAGCCCGCCACAGGTCATAAGATTCTGATCTATTTCAGGTGAGGGATGGAACTCCAAGGAGGTGGAGAGTGCCATCAAATGGCAGTGACATCCTTGAGAATGCACGATTGGGAGACACAGGGGAGGCCATCCTAGTGTGGCATGAAAGGAATCCGAG